AGTATATGACGTGAGTGTCAACGTAAAGTCTGGTAGCATAATATGGGGGGAAGATCAAGAAAGGAAGAGTTAGAAAACAATGGAATTTGTATGAAACGCATGAATAGTGATAATGGATTGATGTTTGGCAACAGGAACAGTCCAGTTCCATAGGATGAACTGATCTTTTGCAAATGAACGATTTACGATATGGTTTTCCGATTTTACTGAGTAACTCTGTAATTTTCGTTAAATACAATTCGGTTGCCCCACCTGTGTTCTCATTCACTACATACCTACGCGACGAATCACTACACATAAAACGGGGTTCCGAGATAAGGATGAGATTTCAACAGAAACAGAAGTACCACGGTTGATGATCAAAATATTGAAGTGGTTGCCACAACCGCCTAACTCACTTCCGATGCATCCACTATGTATGCTCTTCTAGATCTTGAGCTCCACTAAACTTTCAGGTATATCTTTTCATTCCTTCTTAACGAACCGTCTTCCTAAAGATTAGACTTTCTTATTATTGTTACTACCGAATAATTTCGATATCTATTCCTAATCATCTGTCATACTAATGTGATACGACAACTTAAGCCAACGCATATCGGTGCCGAGCTCTACGTTGATGATATATATTTGTTTGTCCATTATTAAATAACCTATCGTCAGAGTATTGATAGGGGCTTTATTTAACGGTACACGTTGTTTCTCATTAGAATAAACTGATTGCATAAGTCGTAAATTAGGCTTACATCGATATCGTGTATGGTTATTAATATGTTGCAAATAAAAACAGTAAAAGTAAAAAAATCCTAATTCTAGTTTCCTAATAGTCAGGCAAAAAAAGATTTTTTCGATTTTAACGTTATGTTTGTTGTGCCGGAGTGTTTTAACTGGAAAGAAACTCATTTACCTTGTAGCTTCTTCTGAAAAGTAAATGAGTCCGAGCACAGTTCAGCTTACAACAACAATGACTCATTTAACTTACTAATAAAGAAGAAAAACTTGAGTCAATTGCGTAATAATTTACTCAGGTCTAAATTCAGTAATAATTGAACTTTATATGATAATTAAGACGAGGCTTATTATATCCGTTGCAAAATCCAAAATATCCTGCGTACAATCTTATTCGTTGGACAAAACAAAATAGCTTACTGACTTTCTTAATGAGTCCATTTATTGATAACACTTCTTGACATAAATTAAGCTGATATTTCGTTTACATTCATTTGTATGTATATTGAGCTGTGTCTAAAATACATAAAAACTATAGTCGCCTACAGCAAATACATTTGATTTAGTGATAAATTAATACCTTGAAGAAAAGTGGATGCTTAAACCATTATTTTTGTAATTGCATTCACAAGAGAACAGTTGTCTTAGTCGAGAGTAATGTAATCAATCAGTAGCATCTTTTTTGACTAAGAATTAAAAAAAATTACTAATCACTTTTTTTTATTGTCAAAACAATCACGTAGTTCATATCTCAGTTCACCAGAAAACTAATCCTCATTCAAAATGAAAAGATTCACCGTCCTACATCGAATTTTTTTTTCTAAATTAGCGCATGAAAAGTTGAGAAAAACCATTAGACAAAAAAACATATGGAGACTTAATGCATGAATGATAAAATTAGGCGATATTTACTACAACGTTCATGATGAAAATATGATCAAATAATTTTTGATCGTAAATGAATATCAGATAGAGAGTAAGAGAACACAGGACAACTGTTGTTTTCACCTTGGGGGATTCAGTGTCCAATGAACATGATCTGCGAAATACAATTACTGTATTCGATATATATGAGATCAAAACAATCGAACCTTATCTTGATAGAGACTCAAAAGAAGGGAGTCTACGAATACTTAAGATCATTCCTACAACCTATCAAAATTTGCATTTTGAACAGGTTAACTAATTGATGTCAAAAGGTCCTCGAATATCAAGCCAGCATTTTAAAAAGTGTTACGAATTGATAAGAAAGATTGGTTGTTTTGAGATCGTTATTTGTATGTAAAATAATTACTTAAAATATAATCACATGTAGTAATTAGTAATAGATCCTAATTTCGCAATTTAGTATACAGAGAAATCATTAACTCCTTACATCTTCATTCTATCAATACCTAGTGGAATCAGTTCAACTTACAAAAAATTTCATTAACATTTGGACGGAAAGGCTTACATTGCTTAGGCGATGAGTAGATTAATATTATTAATATATATATATATATATATATATATATATATATATATATATATATACTATTATTGTAATCTAATTGAAACATAAGGAATCTATAAAGGCGATCAAGGTCACTTTGACTAAAGCCTCCCTATGGTCAATACTGATTGTAAGCCGAAATTTAGGAATGTTGGGTGTTTAGTGAACAACCCTATCTCGTAAAAAAGAACCCCCATTACCGAAATCTTATGGTACTTGACCGACGAAATTCAAATCCGAATATATCATCTAGCCTAATAATGAGAGTCGAGAATGTCCTTCTATATATTCCTTTCACAATAAAAGAAGACTGATAACAAATACATTAGGATGAATATTTACGAGGGTTGGTCTGAACAGACGTCACAATATATGTGAATAGCTGGAAAAATCGATTTTTCAATAAATACTCTCTACATACTTCTCGAATATGTGAAATACTGAAGTGTACAATGTAAGGAAACTTACAAGGTATATATACATACCAATCATACAACATGCATGGTTATCAATGATAAGGATAATAGTGTTACTAAAATCGCCTGTAACTCAATAATAATAAAAAAAACTCTGAATGACATGGCTCGGAACCGTTTGACATGACGAGCATGCATTCATTCTTTGTGTTCTCTCAAATCATAACCTTCTGAATTCCTCATCACCTCCATCTTTTTCTGTATAAGTTTTATTTCACTAGATTCTACTTATTGAATAATTTCTTCGGAGCCTAATCTCTCCAATTACTGCTAATACCTTTACTACCTCTACTATTATGAGATTCGAGGTGACAATTACATCTCTGTGCTAATGTGGTATGGCAACTTGACATGATGTACGTACTCACGAAGTTCTATGTTGTTATTGACTGAATAATAAAAAAATATAGTAAACTCGATCCAAAGAGCTTTATGAAAACACACAGACGTTTTAATTGTTCACATTCATGAAAAAGAAAAAATATATGAACAGGATTACGAACACTACTAAGAGTAAGATTTTATTTATCAACAGTATACAAAAGAAAAAAAACACACACACTTATATCACTTGGCTCATTAATTGCAAATGTAACAAATAAAAGCTTATTTTCACCGCCATTCTAACCGATATATATATATTCTTCAATATATTCAACAATCAATAGTCTCACTATAAGTTTTACTTTATTTTTTCTTATGAAAGAAGAAAAATGCTTGATAAGATGAATAGGAAATAACAATGAAATATGTTCAAATAGTTTAAGAAGAAGAAAATAAACAGTAATAATAATAATAATGGGAGTAGTAATAACCAATGGCAATCGATATTATGTCTGTTCATGATTTTATATATATATATATATATATATATATGCACGGATATACACACAGGGAACCTTTAAAAAAAACTTTTATTTACTTGTCACAATGGTTGTTTTCTAGTGAAAAATTAAAAAAAAACACTGTTTTTTTAAAATGAATATTTTCACAGCAAAATAAATAAAAAGCTTTTATTGTTGTCACAAATAATGCCACAGAAAAGATTAATTGCATAATAATTCCTTTTTCACCATAAAAGATCAAGCTGATTATTGATGAGCATCAACATTAGAATAGAAGTAAATAATTATTGACAAGAATTTTCAACGTTGCATAATTATTATTAATCTGTGTAATTAAATGTTAATAAACAAGAGTATTTAAAGTAGGATGTCAAAATGTGGATTTAAACATTATTATTATTATGAGGAGCATTGTCATCGCATACAAAGTAGGTAAAAATATAAACTATCTCTCTCTCTCTCTCTGAGTTCGAGTGCATTCATCATATTCACTAGAGTAATTGATCAGTTTATTGATTTTTCGTTAACTGTAATAACACAAAAAACCAAATGAACAGGAAAAAAGAAATTGATTAACACATAAAACGCAGTTAAGTGTTAAATGTACTAGTACTAGTACAATTCTTAATGAATAATCACAAAATTTCAATGGTGAAAGTAGGCAAACGGAAGAAAATCGATAGAAAAGAGAAAAAAACAGTAAACGTAGAGAGAGAGAGAAAAAAACACTAAGTTACAAAAAAATGAAGAGTTTGAATGTAAAAAAAAAAAGAAGGAAAATATTGCAAACCAAAATTAAAATAAACACTAACATGCAAAATGAACTTTATACAAATATGATATTATTACTATGATTATTATCATTATATAAATTGTACATTTTAGTAAAGAAGGAAGTAAATAGAGATATGGTGAATAAAAACGTGTGTGTGTGTGTGTGTGTGTGTAAAATCAGTTTGTCATGATGAAACGATAAAATTGGTCAATCATACAATCAGACATATATATATATATATATATATATATATATATATATATATATATATATATTAGCTATAGACAGTTAGGAAAAAATGACAGAAAGGTGAATATTCGAAAGACATTGGTGTACAGTTTCAATGAGGTGAGAATTTTTGAAATATGCTAAATGTCACAATTTGAACAACAACTTGATATATATATATATATAGGTAAATGATGTATGTATTCATTATTTTTAAAATTCTACACTATGTGCATTTGCTTAACATTGATTTATGCAGCAAGAAATCTAAACAGTTAACTTCTTCTTCTCGTTTTTTTTCTGTTCGAAAACAGTTTTAAATCTTGTCAACTATCATCACATATAATTGCAATAGAGAATGAGAAGCATCATGATCGATATACAAAAAGATGTGCGCATATGCAGTAAATTTTTTTTTAAAAATAAAAGTAAAGCATTAAAATAGTTGAATTCAAATGTTACACTTTACCAAATACATGAGTGGCAGTAGTTGCAGTAGTAGTAGTAGTACTAGTAGTAGTAACAGCAGCAACAACAGCAGTACTATCGATCGATCGATCATTATCAACATCATCATCGCCATCAACCAACTGGGTTTGATGAGTGACAGCGGTTGATGTAGAACTGGACGTAGTGATAATATTCTCAGTATTAGTTGTAGTAATCATACTGGTTATTTGCAATTGATTCAACAACTGTAAGATATAATTATGAATTTCTTCTAAACATGACTGGCATAAATTACATGGTACACTAAGAGTAGATTTATTATTCATCTCTGTAGGCTTTAAATGCAACGATAAATTTGCAGTATGCTTACCTAAATTATCACATACAATTAAGATCGTTTTAAAAAGATTTGGATTAACATTAATGTGTTGTACTATGAAAGCTTCTAATTCAATACGAAAATTATCTAAACATTTTGATAATTCAATGAATGATTCATTTGGTACATCATAATCCAGCTCAGAATAATTACATAAATCTTTAGTCCAATTGACTAATGCAACTGTTCGCTCAAATAGATGTGTAAGTGAGTCATGTGAAATAGGATTGAGTTGTATATGTTTTGAATTTGAATTATTATCACTACTACTATTATTATTATTATGAACATTTGGTGAATAATAAGAATCCGGTGCTTGATAGACATCGTCTCCTTCACCTCCACCACCTGATAAATCTGCATCAGGTTTAATTGATATTGAATTATCTTGAGAATTATTTGGCGAGTCCGATTCAATAGATAAAGTCTCATCCTCTAACGACCTTGGTACTTCTTCTGTATTCGATTCTTCTTCTGATCGATCATCCAGTGGTAGATGACGTCGTCCTCCTCCTCCTGGATAGTCACACTGTCTAGCATCACCACTGACACGTTCCAAATCCAATTTATTACGTCGGCGTACATGAGAAGCCCTTGAATATGAAGTAATATTATTATTATTACTATTATTATTGTTATTATTATTTAAAAAAGCATCATCAACAGTCATATTGTTCTGAGAAAATTTATTTTGATTGTTAGATGATATATCGGTTCCATTGTGACTAACTGTTATTCCATTTGAATGAACATACTGTATTTTATGTTGTATAGGAGGAATCGATTGAGAAATATTCAGTTTTGAAACATCCCCAGTTGAAGTTACATGTAAACTATAAGAAATAAAATGAAATGAAATAAATTTCAAGAAATAAGAAATATGCTAGAAGGTTTATATCAATTAAGATGAAATTACAAAGAACCAAATGATGGTAATTAACTGGGGGAAAAAAATATCTTTCGAATCATGGGAGTTATTCAATAGTGGAAAATTTCAAGCAGAATTATTTTAAACGAAACTTATCTACCGTATATAAGTTCAAATGTTGATTGATGACTAGTCAGTCAGTCAGTTGCAGCGTGGAACTTCGTACGTATGTACATAAGTTCATGTTACCATACCACATTAGCACAGAGACGCAAATGTCAAATCGAATCCCATAGTGATAAAGATAGTAGAGGTATTAATGGTAATGAAGAAGACTAAGGTTTGAAGATATTATTCAAGAAGTATAATTCAGTGAGATAAGGTTAGAAAGACAAAGATAGAGGTGCTGACGTTTCCAGAAGACTAGGATTTGAGAGAGCTCAACGAATGGATGCACTTGCGCCATTGCAAACGATTTTGAGCCATGTCGTTCAAGGTCTCTAACCATTGGTGACTTTCGTCTCGCGGACCCCAACCAGGTAGTCTACATCTACCAACATGACTCAGTCCACTTGTCAGTGACTTCATCGATTTTTGCCATGTTTATTGATGACGAGTGGTGAAGCATAGTTATCCTAGTCGAAGTAGATAGAGTAGGGTTCATGCTTGCAACCTATGGATAGAAAGCTGAACATGTTGACTGATCAACAACTGCCTCAGATCAGTAGATACTATGAATAGATCTAAGATAATTAACTTTAAATTACATTGAACGACAAATTCAATATAAAATAAATTTTGCATTGAAGTTAGTTCTAACGAGAAATTACATTATTCTAATGTTAAAACTATTAAGTTGAACACTAGATGAAATACAGAACCCATTATACTGCATACGCCAACCATTAAAAAATAGGAGAAATGTTTCTGTACATTTGTAAAATATTTCTTTTTCCTACAAGAAAATTAAATGTTTGCTAAATTACTAAAATAAGTGTGAATGCGATAAAACAACCATATAAATTAGATACTCTTCATTTATCAACTTTTGTTACCTACAAAAAACAAAATAATTTAAACTGTGAACATCTTTCTATCTGAAACAATTTAACGGAGAAAGTGTGTATTTACAACACATCTTGAAAATTAAAACTTAAATATGAACTACGGAAAATGATGGAAATAATCAGTTTGACGATCAAGTACAAAACATATTTGTGAGGGACGTTACAACTCCAAAATCCACTTGGAAAAAGTCTTAATTTTGTAATTGATTTCCTAAATTTTGAATTTCTATTTTTTTCGCTCCAAAGACGCTTAGTTAACCTACAGCTTACATTTCCCACTTAGAAATCCTTGACAGTCATTGGTTAGCGGATTTTTTTAGTACGCTATTTTGTGGCTCTCCTACAGGCAATTCTATCATGTATAAATAAGCTCGATTTGTGTGCTTAGACACCTCGTATTTTCTAGGTGTTTTTAGAATACATTCTCTACGCCTTGTCGAGACTTCTTGATCTAGTTAGCGGGGCCTGGGACAAACGGATTAGAATAGCCTATCGTGTCACTGTATCGTTGACCTACGTTCCGTTTACTGAGTAAGGTGAACTCGTAATAGCATTCAAGCATATCAATTGGCGAGCATATCAATATTATTAGCAATCGATAACAGATACTTTCAGTAAAATAACTTATATAGTTTATCGATGGTTCTCATGGGTCATTCAAATAAATATAGCCCAAAACTTGTAGTATATAGTGCAAAAGAACTTGATTCTTTACAGATGGTACAGCCACTAAAACCTTTAACTAAAAGTATCGAGTCTGACAAAAAAAGAGTTATATATATATATATATATATATAGAGAGAGAGAGAGAGAAAGACAGGTGACCAGGCAATAAAAGCATAGTTGTATAAATATGAGCAAGATATGAAACTATGAGGTAAGTCAATATTTGAAATGAGCGCGAAATCAATGTGATGAAATAATAAATACTTTCATTAAACCAAACTGAAGGTGTAGTTTATTTATGTGCAAACAATTTGAAATTAAATACACAGATTCGTAACGTTAGAAATTCAATAAACTCTACTCAATATTGTGCAATACTGAATGACAGGAGAGCAACAGGCACGCACACTATTCAATTATGTTTTTTATTATGAAAAATTCATCAAATCTGTAACTGATTTTGTCATAAGTACAAAAATCGAAGTCATCAAATAGGATAGTCATGTGTGCGTGTGTGTGTGCGGGTGCAAGTTAATAAGTTAACCGCAAACTTGAACACGTGTTCCAATTAAAAATAAGGAGCAGTTCGGAACTTCAAACAAACATCATATGACTTAGTTACAAAAAGTACCGCGCTACCTACCTGTAAAAAGGAATCAAATACATGCAAATCAATTACAATCAAAAGCATCTTACCTTATTTGAGCTGTAGCATCATTAGTAGTAGATGCAAGAGGTAACGACGATGACGTATTGCAACATTCCATTATTGATGAATCCGAAAGTGGGGGAGCCAGGGGTGGAGGTGGTGGTGGCGGCGGATAATGCAAATAATTCGATGGACGATTAAATATTTTATCATTGACATCCATTATATCAGTTGGTAAATTTGATTGTGTCAATGATTCGTTAGGATGTTGATGATGATGACGACCGAAACTATTATCTAATTCACCTAAACTCTTCAGATAACTTCCAATTCTATCATGCGGTGGTATTGTTGAGAATTGTTCCATTAGCGGATGATTCACATTAAACTGAGTAGATGATGATGAGGTAGAAGTATGAATATGAGTAGTAGCAGTGATAGTAGTAATCGTAGTAGTGGCGGTACTACTTATAACAGTAGTAGTACTAGCAGTAGTTTGAAATAAATATGGATATGAATGTGGATGATGAATAAGGACATTGGAATTAGGAGTTATAATTTGGGCATGATGAAAATGCTGATGATCAATTGGCATGGACATTTCAAATGGCTGGAATAAAACGAAAGGAAAGATAGTGAAGTAAACAAACCGTAAACGAATGTCCAAGCAAGAATAGAAAGATTTGTATGAGTAGGAGAAAGATAGCGCACGACAATGATCTGAAAAGAGAGTTTGTGAATACAGTAGCGTCACATACACACACACACACATGTATGTAGATGTGTTACATATAAAAATAAAAGTCTAAGATTATTAATTTTCAAAAAAATATACATTTACAACGTAATAAAAGTGATTGGTTTTCACGTACTTGAAGTAAAGTACACTTAAAAAAAAAATAGAATGAATATTTATGTGAAAAATGAAGTAAATACTAATAGATCACTAGGTGTAATGGCAAATATGTGTATTCAGAGTTAGCGACAAAAATCAATCTCGTGTAAGAGTTGTGATTTCAAGCCTGTAATGAATTAACCGAGAAAGATGTGAAAACCTGCAGACATTGCAAATAATTCGATTACCAAAAGTTAATCTTAAGTTTTATCAAAATCATGAATCAATCCATTTTAGATCATCATTGAAAACCTGGAACTATTACTAGACGACCGTTTTGTCCGCGGAATCATCGGTAGTGCGCATCCACGACCACCAACAAGCTGAAATTAAATCCAGTATCTTTGAAATCAAGCGCGCACAAACTTAAGAAAAGATAAGAGCAATTTCGAGTCTATAGAACACTATAAAATATTCAACAAACAACCCAATACATACAACGTTTTGCGTGCACATTGGCTTACATTCAATCAATTACTAGATTTCATAATAGGATAGAGAATATAACGAAACAATCTTCAATTTAACTCAAGATTTAAACTGTTCTACACATAAATGATTGCTTTATTGCATACTTTTAACTACATCAAGAAAAGAAAAACGATTAAACTCAACCAAATCAACCTAACTTACTACATTTAACCGCCAATCAATTTGACTAGGTGTCATGGGCGCTAGAGAATTGGTGGCAGTCACTGCATTATTAGCAGCACTCATTATCCCACCGTTGCATGCTCGACTTTCTGCCGGTGATTCATTGGATATAATCGATTCACCTACACCACTTTCATCTGGTGTATCTGTGTCTCGACTACGTGTTGTACCATCTAAATAAGAGAAAAAAATACAGCATTTATTTTGACGAGAAATTATTGATAGAATGTACGTAATTAGCATAGATTATGATATTCAGCTTTCTACTAAACATTTTTTTGGAAAAAATGCCAAAACCAGAGTAGGTAGACTGGGGGCTACTGGAACTGTGCTTCAAGACATAAACTAATGATGACGGTAAAAATAAGTACACATATATGTATATAAAGTTGTAATATTAGAAGAAATTTTAAACCATATTCTATTGAAGAGTAAAAAACAATATTTTCGTAGAAATTCTAAAAGAATCACATACAGTCAGTCAGTCAACAACAACATAGGACTTCGTACATACGTACATCAGTAGTTGAGATTTTGAACTGCTGAATAGACATCTGTCATTTTCAACCTAGTGGAACTATATTGGGTGAAACATTGGCGACTTGAAGTTCTGTTGTGTTAGACAAACACGTTGCATGTTTATAAGAACGAAAACTGTCAACTTTAGATCCAGTTGTAGGATGATACTGTCATGATACTGTAATGATAGGTCAGGTGACTATCAAACAACATCTAAAACGATGATAATTTCATGTACGTACATAAGAGGGGTTAGAAAAGGATGGTTTTAAAGTCACTAACATCACTAGTTGCTTCATAAATTTTCAGCACGACTAAACAGATTTGAAAAGTGTGAAAAGCTACTGACAAACGTCTTACTAAATCCATCATACTTGTTGAGAATTCTTAACAGGTAGTTTCAGAATGTAGACAATGAATGTGCACAGTCACTCCAAAAGAATGAGTAAACATCATTATTTTGGTTAACGGGTCAATATATAATTTTTAAGAATACAGGTATACTCAATCAGAGGGAACAAGTTACAGTTTTCAAATGAGTCTAAAAGAAATATAACAGTCTAGAAACTGTAACGGATTGATAACTCAGTACTAAACTATATAATTGTGAACAGTTCCCTTCATAAAAAGAATATTTGGAAAAAACAGAAAAGTTGAATGATGAAGCATGTATGCGTATCAAATAATCAAAACTGTGGTGGTGTTTTGTTCTCTGAGCTGGATGTTTTGGTTATGGAGCTTCCAGAAGAACAGTAAAAGCTCTACAACCAAAACATTCAGCTCATAGAACAAAACACCACCACAATCATCCACCTGAGCTACAAATTTTCTCCACCATCTCATAATATCAAGACCAATATGAAATAGCAAATAAGTGAATAACATAATACAATAATCAATAAAATATAAGTAAAACTTAATGAATATTAAGTAAATAGTAATAATAATAATAATTTAGAAGAAAAGATTGCAGTTAACACTTACTTTGTTGTGTACTAGTCTGTGTATTACAACCAGAAGTAACAACATTACGATGAACAGAACGATGATTCGTTCGATTAGCTGACCGATCATTCATTCCTTTTGTTGAATTAGTAACATTGAAATTAGAGATTTTAGAAACAATTGGAGGAGATGAATTGATATTGCAAAACTGTGAAAGATTTGAAGTAACACAACAATTTTGAGAAATATTCAACAAGTTAGTAGTAGTAGTAGCAGTAGTAGTAGTAGTAGTAATAGCAGTATGTGAACTAGGTTGACAAGATGAATGACTACTCATTGGAATAAAATAACATAATTTTTCACCGGAAGGTAAAAATCCATTATCAGATGATGAAGCCGGTGAATATTGGGTTTGTGTTAAACCATTTGAAAACGGTGTTGCACATTGAACAAAATTAACAAATCCATTTTGACCAGATTCATGTATGGAGGTAATTTGTGGAGTGCATGATGCGACAACAGAATTTGGTAAAAATTTAATTTGACCTAAATTACTAGTGGGTAATAGAATATGTTGTTCTATATCGTATTTTTGAATGATAAAATGTTTTTTTTTAAAAAAAAAAAAAAGAAGGGAAAACAATTTTTATTCATTAAAATAAAAAATTCACTTATATGATTATTAGACAATCATTTCAAAATCAGATAACAATAAATAGTTATACTCCTAGAAAAAAATGACACCAATGACTAAAAGAACATAAATTTTCAGGCAGAGTTTTGGAGGTTTGTGTTTTTACACATTTTGAAATCATCAACCAACCATTGGTAGATCACCATCAGAAACCTAGAAGTACTGGACGGCCGTGTCGTCCTGGTATGGGACTCATCAGCAGTGCACATCCACGACTCCTGCACCTCGCAGGATTCGAACCCGGGACCTTCGGTATTGTGCGCGAACGCCTAACCATTGGACCACTGAGCCGGCATCCAACGGTGTTAATGTCTAACTCTGATTGATCTACGGATTTTTCGCGACCTCACCCATTTGTCTTAGGTAGTTACTGCCTACACCCAACAGGGTTAGGGTGTACGGAAATATGGACTATTGGGTTCTGATTTAATAACAGGAACTAATGGTGTTTGCGAAAAAAGACATGAAAGTTTTTATATTTGATTTTCCTATAGAGCGTTGTATGCAGAGTGTCGGATATATATATATATATATATATATATATATATATATACAAAAACTGGAATGGAAAAACTCTTCAAAGGTAGTTTCCTTTTCAAAGATCGATATTCATGAGGAAAGCTGATAATGAATACAATGATTTTCTATGAACAGCTCTAAATAAATAATTTTTGTCTGTGTATCCAATAGGACAAGTAAAAACAAAAGCTGCAGGACTATTGTATACACATACATGAGTCATCAGTTTAAGTGACCAATTGACAATGTGTTGCATATATACATATATATTAGAAGTTCGAATAGTTAGCCAACTTGTGCGTACGAATCAATTCAAAAGTGCTACTGCACTAGTTCAGCTAATATGACTCACTTTTTCTTGTGCTTAATACTTGAATATGCTTGTGTACACAACGTACACAACAGTTGCCATTCAACATTTTGACGAATGTGAAAAAAAAATATGCAGAAACACACATTCAATACAAGACTTAGTAGAAGCGCGAAAAACCATTGTGATTCTTATAGATAAAGTTTTTAATACACAAATGTGTATATGATAATGGAAACGACTCTGATGAGACACAGATAGATAGACAGACAGACAGACTAAACCACTGTGAAAAGTGAAATGGAATAATGACAAAGTAGTTTGTGAAGAATTATTTTCAAAACTGTGAAACAAAACTTCAGTAAAGAAAAGAACACACAAATAATATACAATCATTATTACATTAGTTCAAGGAATAAATGCATCCAATTTGAAATTATCAACAACAAAAAATACTATTATGTTCGTCACTATGTATGCTTGAGGCTATTACGAGTTTTCCTTAGTCGATAAACGCGAACGAGACAATTACCAGCGTTCAGGTAGGTTACCTTGAATCACCAACTAAAGTAAGAAGGCTTTGCAAGCTTAGAAAGCATATTCTACAAACACCCAGCAATCACATTACAATCAAGCATACAACTCTCGTTTATTTATACATCATAGAAACGTCCTTGGTACAGTTAAGAAAATAGCACATTAAAATACACAGCAGCCAATCACAGCCATGGATTTTCCTAGTGGGAAATGAAATCTCACGGTCAACTGATCAACCCATGTTGGCAAACGTGAAATCCAAAATAAGGCATTTATCAAGTGAGTTTTGGGGATCTAACATCCCCAACAAATACTGGGAAGTTGATGAAATACTTTTCTATACATCATAAGTAGGTGAGGAAATCAAGAGAAATACGAAAAGGCGTAGATATGATAATAATGAAAAACTTAAAACTTATGAAAATAAAGTCACAAAAAATGAAACGAAATCATGTACAGTAGTAGTAGACAAGGGATTAACCTAACTAATGTAGAACGTAGAACATTTCTAGAAATACACAAATTAAATAAATCTGAACTAGTATTACAAATTATGGTGCGGGATATTTATACTGTTTTATTATTATTGATATTCAATCGATTTCTATCAATCTAGCAGATAAAAGTATGTGGCATTTAAAGGTTTCAGTCTTAGAGGGACAACATAAACAAAGATATTAGTATGCGCATAGATGACGAGTTGAAGAACAAGAGGAAATGTCTCTACGAAATCCCAATATTATGCATCATAATGTTTGTTGTCCGGTGCAAATACATTTTTCTTTAACTAGCTAAATATGATGGGAAATTAAGAAAAAAATCTACGCATAGATTGTAGCCTGTCGTTACATTTTCTAACTATGAAGGTTTTCAAACAAACATTAATTCGACGTTAGCAGAGCTTCAGATAGGAATTACCGAGATAAGATTAAATGCTATGAGATGGTGGAGAAAACTTGTAGCTCAGGTGGATGATTGTGGTGGTGTTTCGTTCTTTGAGCTGGTGTTGGGGGTATATCTAACAGTATTGTAAAAATGAGTGGAACCGAGATATATTTTCCGTTCGTGGTAACCACAAGCTTATCGAAACCGATATTAGGAGCAGATTTCCTAAGAGAGGTAAAAGTGATAATTGACTTGAGAAGCGGTAAAATGGTCACAAAGTACGGTTCATTGCCACTACACCAGCTCAGAGAACGAAACACCACCACAAGTAAATGCTATGATTTTATAGATAAAAATAATATCATTTAAGAAAAACATATTAATTGTATGATATGGAATAGGTAGGTAAAAACCATGTCGATTTGCAGGTTCCGACTTTCTTTAAATTACAATTACCTAAATACTGCATCAGTTTTATACATTGTTTACAGTTACATACATTACCAACTCAAATTTGAGTGATTAACTGTTTATATTATTTAGCGGTTAGTTAATATATGCATCCTTCGTTGAATTTTGTTGTCCGAAGACACTGTTGATAAGATCGTCTGTAAACAAGTTATTATTTAACAAGAGTTAAAATGTTTTTGTTATGAACGTACGTCGACACGTCAAATGGTAGGCTTAAACTAGTAAGAGTTCACATTACCCGATAAACGAGAACGAGGGTAGATGGTTCGGCGACAGGATATGCTACTCTAATCCGATTGTCCCAAACCCCCATTGAGTAGAATAAGATCTGATATGAAGTAGAACGTCCATTCTACACACATCCAGAAAGTACAAAGCCTGAGTCCAGAAGAGGACAAGTATCCCGAACTAAGGATCCGGACCATAAAAAGTTACAGATAATCCATATTTATACAGTTAGGTCGAATAGGAAACAACATTGAAGTATGTGACAATGACGTAGAACTTCGTACATACTTACAAACAAAGAGATCGAACAAATTGTCAATTCAAATTCTCATAACAGCAGAGGGAGCAGCAGTATATGCGGTAATCAAAAATATTATGGATCGAAGATATGACTCCAAAAGTAAAATCCAGTGAAATTAACTCAAAAAGAGAAAAGAACGACCAAGAAGAATTAGGAAAATTGGAATCTGAAAGAAGACAACGAATGAATGCACCTGCAAATGACCTTGATCCTTTATAAGATGATATTACATTAAGTCTGTAAACCTATTAAAAAGGAATAATTGTTTCTAGTACGGTCAGTTAGTCAGTTATAACGTAGAACTTCGTACATACGTACCACATTAGCACAGAGACGCAATTGTCAGTTCAAAACCCACAGTGGTAGAGATAGTAGAAGAATTACTGGTAATGAAGAATATTAGGGATCGAACACATTATTCAAGAAGTAGAATCTAGTGAAATAAACTTAAAAGAAAAAGATAGAGACGATGAGCGATTCAGAAGTTCAGGACTTGAGAGAACACAAAGAGTTGGTGCGCCTGCACCACTGCAAACGATTTTGAGCCATATACTTCAAGTTCTCTAACCATTGGTGACTTTCGTCTCGCGGACCCCAACCAAGTAGCCTACATCTACCAACGTGACTCAGTTCACTTGTCAGTGTTTTCATGGATTTCTGCCATGTTTTGGTCTGCCCGCCCCTAGCTTTCGTCCAACCTAGTCCTACACCACAAAATGTCGCTCGTCGAGGCAGTCATTGGTTGGGCACTCGTAACACATGTCCTAACCACCTCAACTGATGAAGTTTCATTACTTCATCTATTGATTTGCTATCCCTACCTAGTACTTGTTTCCTAACGACAGCATTGCTTACTAGGCTGTCCCAGGATATACGAGCAATGCTTAGAAGATATCTATAATCGAATACCAGTTACCTACGAATATCTTCTACTCTGACTGCCCATGATTCGCATCCATATTGTAGAAAGGAGCGAACTTCTGCGCAGTAGAATCGGCCTTCGGTTAGCAAACGTATATCTCACCTACGCCGTAGATGACGAAGGTTGACAAAAGTGAATCGAGCCGTCTGTATCCGTGATGAGATTTCGTCAGCACTTATTTAATATAATCATTATTAATAATACAACGAGACGAACAGTAAACAAAAAATTCAATCAAAACAATATATATATATATATATATTACTTGGATTTATCTCCGCATTATTTTCATGTAAGATAGCATGATTAGTTGAATTATTCAAAGGTTTATTTTCAACAACATCATCATCATCATTATTATCATCATCATTACCATTGTCAAGTGATATGGTAGCTAACTTATCAGTAATACGACCAAAATTATCATTGACACCAACTCCACCACCGGAAGATGAAGGAGAAGAAAGAACTGGATATTTATCTTTAGATAAACGATTCTGACCGAATAATAGATTTTTTTCTTGTTTTATACAGTGATTATTGTTGTTATTCAATACAGTAATATTAGTTTCAATATGATGAGGAATAGAATGATTGACAGCTGAATTCATTGTAACATAAGAAATTACTGGATTCGGTCGACTCTGTTCAATATTACTACAAGTGAAATCTATATTCGACCGGGAATGAATTGCATTATTGTGAATGGAGTGGATATGATCTGAATTCATGCCTTCTGTTGGTATGAAGCTATTTGGATATGATTCTTTCAAGATCATATTAAACTGATTTATAGAATTTCCATGTAAATCTGGTGGTTGGGTTTCAGTGAATCTGTGTGAACTAACAAGTGGCTGTTGTTGTGGCGGTGGAAGTTGCTGTTTTTGTTGTTGTAGTTGTTGTTGTTGAATAAGATTCACAGGTTGCTTTTCCAATTCTAAAGCAACTTCTAAAAGGGAAGTAAAAGTTGAACAATTAGTGATTTCTTAAAAAAAAACATTGAAGATACATATACACGTAAAATACCTAGGTCCAAACACATAAATGGTAGAAAAATTTATTGGTGACTGATATGATCTTTCTGGTTAGCGCTTTTTCAGAAAGTTTATTTTTTACAGGATGGGGTTGCTAATCCCATGCCCTACCGCCTTCTCTTTTGTCCGGCGATGAGACTAGAGTAACACTAAAAAGGCTCCAAGAGGATCTGGAGATGATAGCAGAAAAAGATGTGAAAGGAAACATGAGATGACTATACGGTTCAACGAAGAAGCTCGACGGAAAATATAGTAAATCAGAACGACCAGATAAGACACTGACACTGAAGTACAGATAGAGCACTTTGAAGAACTCTTGAATACCCGAGAAAGGGGATCTTAGCAAGTGTGAGAACTACAGAGGCATCACTCTACTCTTGATACCAGGAAAAGTCTTCAAAAGTGTTATTAAACCGAATCAAAGATACAGTAGACACGGAAATTTCAGATCAACAAGCTGCATTCGATAAGGATCCATTGTGTACTGACTGAATCGCGACGAATCAAACTACAAAATCGTACATGGAGGGCAGATCATACACTCATTTCGAGTGAAGATTTTTGTCAGAAAAGGTTGCTTACTCTCACTATTTCTCTTTCTTCTGGTGGTCGACTGGATTATGAAGACGTAAACATCTCAACTGAAATACAAAATACTGTAGGAGATTTGAACTTCTATCCTATAAAAAGCAACAAATGCAGATGAAAACTGCCAGTGTAGCAGGAGCCCCTGCATAATTAGGATTCATTCTGTTCTAATTTAAGAAGAACGATTGAGCTTTGTTTAGCTTCGTAACAATTGTAAAAGCTTTAGTTATGATAGAATGCAGTTTAACAATGATGTAACATACGGTTAGAGAAATTAAATAGATGACATAATGAACTCAGAATAGAGTTTAAAGTGTATGTGTGAGGAAGAGTACTGCTAGGAAAAAGTTCACAACAGTTAAAATAATTCAATAATTATGAACAGTAAGCGAGATATGGTATCAAACAATCTGATTGATAAAGTATAAAAATGATGAAGCACAGTGATCCATAACATGAAAGTCTAATGCCGAGTTAAGAACCCACCATAAAACAGCATCGAATATTACAATATTTCAATCATATGAAAAATTATTAGTTAGAAGAGGATAGATATATTAACATAGACAAACAATAAATTAAAATAACTTGGAATCTGTCTAGTGAGACCTTTTTATGCATGCGATGATAAATAAATCTTTTTTTTAAAAAAAAATCAAAATCAAGTTTTTCTTCCCTTTGCACTTCATTAACGACAGAATAAATCGATTATTAGGCAAAATCAGTAGTAGAGAGGTTAAAAAGAAACACCTTTTATCAATATGAACAGTGATTACGATATTCCTATTGAAATATGAAAGCTACAATTCGAGCATGGGAAATAATTCTTTTCAGTTAGCCTCGCATCATGTCTAAACACATGAATACAGAGCTTTATATTTTTGAATATGGGAAATCAATGCAAACTAATTGGTCATTAGTAAGCTAACATAATAATAATGATAATAATAATTATTTCAATTAGAGTTATGGAGATTATTGTTTCTACACATTTGAAATCACCAATCAATCAATGTTAGACCACCATTAGAAACCTGGAAGCACTGGACGGCCGTTTCGTCTTGGTATGGAACTTATCAGCAGTGCGCATCCAGAGTTAGACATTACCACCGTTGGATGCCAGCCCAGTGGTCTAGAGGTTAGGCGTTCGCGAGCAAGGCCGAAGGTCCTGCGAGGCGCATGAGTCGTGGAGGCGCACTGCTGATGAGTCCCATACCAGGACGAAATGGCCGTCCAGGGCTTCTAGGTTTCAAATGGTGGTCTAACAATGATTCATTGATGACTTCAAATGTGTAAAAACAATAATAATACTTAGAAAATACAATACAAATTAGTTAGTTAATAAGACTGATTACACAACAGTTTAGATGTAAATAATGTAATTAGTTATTCGGATCGGTTACATAAGGATGAAGGAAAACAAAAGCGAAGCTAGTGTAAACATGTCATTAGAATCAATAATATATTGATTTTTGAAAAAAAAGATTATCTTGTAAAAATGATGGAAAATAATCGTCATTGATGTAGCTGAAATGAATTCGATAACGAGTGTGTGTACACAACTTATCTTTCATTGATCTCGCCTTTGTTTTTGCTCCATCTTTATGTAATCAATCCGAATAACTAATGACAATATTTTTACATCTAAACTGTTGTGTAATCAAACCGAATAACTAACCATGTTGTATTGTACTTTCTAAGTATTTTTAATTATTATTATTATGATTACTATCATCAATATTATGATGTTAGCTTACTAATGACCAATTAGTTTGCATTGATTTCTCATATTCAAATGTAAAGCCTTGTGTATTCATGTGTTAAGACTTGATGCAAGGCTAATTGAAAGGTATTATTTCCTTTTGCTCGAATTGTATTATCAATAGACAGAATGTTAAACAGGAATAATTAAATTGCACCAAAAAACGAATAATAATTTAGCTATCACGAAACCGTTCATTAAAATTTACAAAAAAAAAAATAACTGTAGATATAATAAAATGAGAATACCTACTACTACTACTACTACTACTACTGTGAGATTACATAATATACATGGGATAAGGATTGTTATTATGCATTAATGGAACTACTTACAGGAATCGATGAAATAGTGAAATAAGGAAAGTAAAGCCTAAAATTTTATTTAAAAACATTATGTATCACAATATAGTAGTAATACAATGTGCCAAGTTTGATGAAAAATAGTAATGTACTCTAGATTGAATGTAAACCGGACTCGTAAGTATACAATGGTAACGCTTATTTCACAGTACAATACACTCTCAAGAACAATGTTGAATTTATTGTCGTTTAATAGGCAATTTACGGTCAATAGTAACTAAGACAGACAGACAGACAGATACAACACAGAACTTCGTACATACGTAAATTACATCAGTTCAGGTAGCCATAGCACATTAGCACAGAGACGCAACTTTCAGTTCAAATCACATAGTGGTAGCGATAGTAGAATTATTAGCCGTAATGAAGAAGATTACTAACTAATCTATTGTATATTAGGAAATAAGTTTTCTCTGAACACATGTCTATAAAAAAAAATCGATATAAGACAAGAAACTATCAAATATCTACGTTGATCAATTCATTACTGTCATTTCTTTACCTCTAATAAAATACAGTTCTATACAATTAGTTTTTAAACAGAAATTGTTTTTTTTTGTGTGTGTGTAAGAGAGCTAATTACACTATCTAAATGACAAAATCAAAATAAATGATGTAGAATTTAGACTTGCAACCTCACAGTTTGAAAACATTTTTAAAAATTGCATAGGAATTAAAACGTTAAATAATTTTAGTGTAACCAACTAATAATAGTCATTGGTAAATAATAGGTGTCTTCGATGTACAATTTAATAAAGTAGAATTTCATTAACCAAATAAGGTTGAACAAAACACGATTTATGTCAGCAACTATGTTTATATAAAATATCAAAGCTTTCAAGGCACGAAATATCTTGATTTCGTTAAAAACTGTCGTAGGATAATAAACATCGTGAAAGATAAAAATTCAATCCAATAACAGTATGATGATATATATATGAAATACCTTATGAAAACAAGAAAAAAACTACAATATTGCCCAAACACTAAAGTTGGAAATAGGGTTCGAACTAGGTATCATGTTTGTAAAGGCTGAGTTTCGAAACCTGAAGAACTGCACAAACAAATTTTATAATTAGTGTGTCAAAATATATCTTTTGGGAGTTTATAAATTTGCAGACTTCGAGTAGATTTAATTTTTGCTTTATTCATTACTGATTAATGCACACGGATAATAAAATTTTAGGTATATTTGTAGAGAGAGAGAGATTTCGACATCCAACAAATGCTGTATTTCTCGAGCTTAAGGCAGATTTAAATCCATTGTTCGTGAGGTTTTATAGCATTGTGTAGTAGAAAAGTGAACCAAAGAAATGCATTAACCTTATACAAGCTCTCTACTCTAACACTAATGGTCAAGTCAGAGCTTATGAAGAACTGTCATCAACATCGTCATTGACATGCTTTTAGAGACCACAATTTCATCTTCTGACTTTTCAGGAGTCGAACTTCTAACAGGAGACTCGTTCGTTGACTTGGAATATGCCGATGAAATAGTTCTATTTGGTGAGGACGTTGATAAAATGCCGCATTGTCTGACTCCTTCAAGCAACAACGCAAGCATATTCGGAATGCAAAATGTTGCTTCAGGATTGGCTTGCGTCGGCGAGTAAACTAGTGACAGGGATACAAAAGGGTTGACTGGCTTTGATCAACTTGTGTCAGTTATGGCGTAGACGAGATATCTGACTTAAACAAAGAACGAACCTAGTGTGCAGCAGTTCGCAGCGGCCTGCTTAACGGGTGCAAAACATGGCCAGTTAGGATAGAGGATATTTGTAGGTTACTAGTATTCAACCATGGGTGACTTCGAAGCATGGGCTCATATATCCTGGGATCACCGGGTTAAAAAAGAGTGCTAAGTAAGGATGGTAAACCAACTGATGAAGTAGCGAATACTGATCAGTTGAGGTGCTTATGACATGTGCTACGTATGCCTAACCCCTGACTACTTCGATAACTGATGTCTGACAGAGTAGGTTAGAAAAAAGCTAGTGGTGACCAAAATAAAACAAAGCACAAATACGTGAAGTCACTGACAAGTGGACTAAGCTATTTAAGTACGTGTAGACAGCCTGGTTTGGATTCGCGAGACAATCGTAACCGGTGGTTAGAGACTTTGAACGAGAGTGCTCAAAATCGTTAGCAATAGTGCAAGTGCATCCATTCTGCGTTCTCTAAAATTCTAATCGTCTGAATTCCTCTTCGACTGTTTTTACTCTTCACTGGATTATACTTCTCGAATTATATCTTTGATCCCTAATCTTTTCGATTACAGCTTACGACGTCTACCACTATGCGATTTAAACTGAGAATTCCATCTCTGTGTGTTAAAGAGGTATGGTCACTTGAACAGATGTACTTATGTACCAAGTTCTGACTTGCAGCTGACTGACTAATTGATAATAAAAAATAGAATAAGTTACTAAACACAAATAGCTGTTACGTAGGTCCAAGCTTACCTGCTTCAATGTTCATAGTTTTATACATCTGTTCCAGTTCCGCGTGGATTTCACTAAACGAAGGTCGCAAATTAGGATCCCAAGACCAGCCTAAATTAAGCAAAATAAAGGAAAAGATTTATTGTATATACTACACCAAAATATATATCAAATACTACAATGAAACAATAGGTTACCGAAACAAGACTGGTCGATATGATCTTATCTGTTTTAATGACTTCAATGTAGCAATAAAATGGGGGAAAAAATAAGAAGAAATGGCATGGAAACAATCAATCAAGTCATGTCGAAGTGTATTTGCGTTCAATGTATAAGAAGTAACTTTAAACAGTTAATAAGACGTTCCAAATCATCCAGGGTGGCATATTTATCCTATTTTACATAGTATACTACGGTTTGCATTCCCATCAATTCATTGATTCCAAACCTTATAAATTAATTTTTAGAAGATATTTACTATTACAAATTCTTCTTATTTGATACATAACTTGACAATTTCCTGTTATTACGCTGACATGAAATAGAGCAGAATGGACTGATAATTATTTTTGAAATTACCAATCATTATTGATATTTTGTCCAAATGAAGGAGAAAAAAACTACACTCCTAAGACAGAGTTTTAATTCATTTCAGTGAGTGGCATATACGATAAGTTAAATCTGACCAATAGACTGTAGCTTAGACATTTACTCAAGATATATATAACGAAGACTGAAGATTTCAAAAAAGTGAATGGCGTTATATGATTAAAAAATACTGTGATATACAGGGCTTAGTGAAGAACTTTTCTCCAAGAAAAACATTCAACCACTTAAATTTAGTTTGAAAGAACTTAAACAGAGATAACCACGGACAAATTTAACAAGTTTCCAATTTTAGTACACAGATTGTGAAGAGGTAGGAGAGAATCACAATGTCGAATGTGAGGAAGGTATCCTACAAAAAACAACAGAAGATGGCCAAGCAATATCACAAATCGATTACGATTAGATTTATAAACCACTGGATTCTGGCTCAGTGGTCTACAAGTTAAGCGCCTACTGTAAGACTAAAAATTCTGGGTTCAATCTTTAGTCAGAAAGCAGATGCGTATTGTGCTAAGCATTCCCAAACTAGGAAGCAACAGCTATCAAGCGCTTCAGGGGCTTCAATGATTGTCTAACCTTGATTGATTCATGACCTCAGCTGAAATTCTGAAGGACTTGTCAATAAAAGTTACAGACAACACTGAATAAGCAAACATATCAGCCAAAGATTATACAGAGAGAGAGAGAGAGATTTACTACTAACATGATGATGATGATTAGGGTGTCTTGTATATCAGGTTTTACCAATGAAACTAATGATCTATTCCTTAAACAAAATCAATAACTAAAAATTACTAAGCGACATTCATTATTACTGAACTGCAGAAAAACATAACAACAGTAAAAACAATCTAAAAGATAAAAAAAGAAAATTATGTGAATTTGATGATGAACAGGAATTAATTTTAAAAGCAGCATAGATTAAAACAAAAAGTGATTGATGTACTAGCAGTATGAGATATAGCAATAGTGTGATAGGAATGAATAAAATAAAATTTAACGAAATATATAAATTTGAACTATTTACATCTTAACATAATAGAATAAACAGCTTCTGGGCAACCATGTGGGCGTTCCATTCTATAGCCTTTTTCTAAAAGATGATAAACATCATGCAATTCAACGCCAGGATAAGGTGAAAGACCATAGGTGGCAAGTTCCCAAAGAACTACACCAAAAGCCCATACATCGGATCTAGAAATGAATAATGTACAGAAAAAACAAAACAATCAATTACAAAAAATATATATCGCTCATTATGTATATCAATGAGATTTACGAAGTGATTGCCGGCTGATAATGAAATTTGGAGTAGGCGGTGACATGATATGCATTATATATATTAACTATATCTAGTACTATTTTAACAGAATTTATTTGTTATTAAACAATGAAAATAGAGCATACCATGATTTTTATAGTTCAAGTCAACAACAACAACAGGACTTCGTGAGTACGTACATCATGTCAAGTTGACATACCGCATTAGCACAGAGATGTAATTGTCACTCATAGTAGTAGAGGTAGTAGAAGTATTAACAGTAATTGGAGAGATTAGGCTTCGAAGATATTAAATCAAGAAGTAGAATCTAGTGAAATAAAACTTAAACAGAAAAAGATAAAGGTGATGAGGGCACAAAGAATGAATGTACCTTAGCCAGTGCAAACGGTTTTGAGCCATGTCATATCTAACACGTAATCCATTGCACTAAGGTTATATCAACAAATAAAACTTTAAAGACTTTCAGTTACTTGCAAATTTGCACTTATAAATATGCTTACCAACACCCTACCTTACGAGTAATTAAATTTAATAAATGTTCCTATGAATTGTAAATGAGTGATAAAAATGTAAATAGTCAATTTGTAGTTGTTTCTTGGAGAAAATTTTCGCCAGAAAGCATTTTACATTCATATTTAACTTTTACGCTTATTTTATCCTAACTAATCGGTAATCGGTTAATTGACACAAAATCGAAATAACAGATTCAAATGATTTGGAAAATTATTTACGCGTGATTAGTTCGTACTTTTAATAATACAATAGTAGTCTATTTCACTAATAAAACTGATTGACGATTATTATTAAGAATAAATTCATGTTTGGAAAAATAGTTATCAAACAGTTACAACTGTCAAATGACTTGTGATGGCCTAATCTAAATGAAGTGCAAAAACTAACACACACACACACACGTACATACGAGAAAATTTATTACGCGGTAAATTATCGGTAGATTTATTTATCCGACGATTCGGTTGGACATTATTTTTAATTACATCCAAAACGAACTCATCTAGTCAAGTTGCACTATTTAACTGACATTCAGAAAAAAGGAACTTGTCAATTGGTGCTTTGTTGCCTACTATCATCAAAAATATGTGTGAACAAACAAAAATAAATCATTGAAATGGCATCTGAGCGCTACATTAGAATGATAATCATTTACATTGATTTGAAGCAAAAAGAAACTGATTACATTTATAGATTACAATTAATTTACTGTAAATATTTTACTATTATCCTTCCAGAGAAAAACAAAAACGAATGTATCAATGTTAGTTGGTTTGGATATATAGCTGTTAGAAAAAAACACACAATGTCGAACAAGTATTTTTTTCATGTATTTGATCACGAAAAAGTATGATTCTCATCCTTCGATAATATGTAGATCTGTTGACAAACCTGTTACTTCTGTTTTATTCCACTCGTATGAAACAGTGATCCACCACTCTTTAATTTCGGTAGTTTCTTCAGTTGTGACAGTTCCTAGTGAAATCTATTTTCAAATTGCATTCATATACAGTGAAGATGTGAAGGAGCGGATCGGCAAAGAAAGTGAAGCATTTCTACAAATGAACAACATCTGGAACTCAAAACAACTATCAACAAACAACAAGGTCACAATTTTCAATACAAATGTCAAGACAGTTGTACTGTGTGACGCGGAAACTTGGAAAACTACGAAAGCCATCATCCAGAAAATACAAGTATTCACTAACAGTTGTCTACGTAAATTACTTCGGATCCGTTGACCAGACACCATCAACAACAATCTACTGTGGAAGAGAACGAACCAGATTCCAGAAGAGAAGGAAATCAGGAAGAAGCGGTGGCAGGGGATAGGACACATATGGCGGAAACCACTCGAGTGCGTCACAAGATAAGACCTCACTTGGAACCCACAAGGAAAAAGGAAAAGAATAAGGCCAAGAAGCACATTACGCCGAGTAACGGAGATAGATATGAGACGAATGAACAATAATTGGACAGAACTGGAAAGGGAGGACCAGGACAGAGTAGGTTGGAGAATACTGGTCGGCGGCCTATGCTCCATTGGGGGTAGATCAGTAGTAAGTAATATACAGTGAACTTAAGTTAATCAATTCAACTCAAGTGTATACTATTCTTGTAAACTACAGTCTACTACTAGCACCAGTACTACTGCTATTACAATATGGACATAAAATGACTAGTATGATTATTTGTTTTTATACACAACCAACACAACACAATACAACATATTATAATACAACAAAATAACTATAAAATAAAAAAAATTCAATATGTTTGTTCGCTTTCATTTTAAAAAATAACAACATTAGCCTACTTTGATGAGAACACATAGTATGAAAGTCCTTCAGGTGCAGTCCATTTAATAGGAAATTTAGCACCATTACGTGCAGTATAAGTATCTTGTCGTTGCATATAACGTGCTAAACCAAAATCTGCAACTTTAATCAAATGTTGATCACCTACTAAACAATTTCTAGCAGCTAAATCTCTAAAAGATTAAAAATAAAAATAAATCAAATAAAAAAATTTTGTTCATTGAAAATATACGTTAGTTTGACATTTTCTTTTAAAAAATAATAAGAAGAACATATTGAAAGTAAGGTAACAACGAACTATTGATAAGAGAGACAATTGGAAGTAGGTACATTCATATTATCCGATCAATCAATATTATTATATGATTAATTGATATTTTTGAAGTTAATTGGTAGAGAAAAACATTTCAGGGTGTACAGAAATTGAGAATCTTATTATCATACAGAACAGTGACACACGTTTACTCGAATATTCATCAATATATATATATATATATATATATATATATATATATATATATATATATATTGATGAATAGTTTGACATTAGTAATAGTATGTCTTATTGTTAGTTACCGAAGTCTTCATGATATAGGTATATTATCCATTGCAAGTCAGTCAGTTACAACGTAGAACTTTGTACGTAAGTACATCAATTCAGGTTGCCATACCGCATTAGCACAGAGACTCAATTGTCAGTTCAAATCCCACAGTGGAAGAGATAGTAGATGCATTAGCAGTAATCGGAGAGACGATATTATTCAAAAAGTATAATTGAGTGAGATAGATTTAGAAAGAGAAAGGTAGAGGTGATGATCCATTGCAAGGCATGGTATTATTATTATTAATGTACCATTGGTTATGATATCTTGTGAATGAAATGGATTTGCGTAATGTATAACAATGTTCATGAGTAGTGTCTACATTATAAAGTATCGATAAGTTGCATTAAATTAAATTTGACTTTTCTCACAAGCAAAATAAATAACATACTAAAAACAATCATATTATTTACCTGTGAATAAAATTATTAGCCTCTAAATACGCCATACCGGAAGCGATTTGCACAGCCATATAGAGTAGAGTAAGCGGAGTTAATTCACCTGGACTACGTGTACGTAAATAATTCAGTAAATTTCCATTTGGCATATATTCCGTAATTAAATAAAGTGGAGGCTCTCTAGTACATACACCTACATAAAGAAAAGAGTGATAAACAAAATGGACCTATGATAACAATATAACAACATAACAATTTAATATATCTCTTTAAACTTTTTTTCTTTTTCACCGAGATCCTCGTCAAACAAAATCAAGCTCAAATGATAATGAAATGAATTTTTTTAATATAATTTCAAGAATATTATACCATCAGCAGTTCATAATTAGGTCACTTAAATTAAATCTAGCTGACGAACCCACCACCGTGTACCGTTTCTCTATCTAGAAGTAATAAGTAATGCTAATTGCAAAGCTTTCATTGTCTTTCCTAAAAAAACCATCGAGTTCAGAGAACAAAACATCTTCAAAATCCTAAGCCTGAGCTACAACGACTTTAATCAATAATGTCACATGAAAACAAGTGACCCTTAAATTTTTCATATGATAGATAATAAGATTTATTAAATCCCCATCTATAAAAGAAAAACCAAAAAAAAACGAAAATGGCGGAAATAGTAAGTCGTATTTTCAATATGAAAATCTGATAATTAATACACAGAAAAATGAACATCCATTTCTTGTTTAGAAAGCAGATCGCACCATGGGAAGAACTCCCCGAAACATTATCATAACAATAACGAACTTCGAGAGATGAAAGGCTGTGGCCAGTGGAGTTCAACCATGATCAGCGTGGATGGATGGATGGATGGATAATAAGAGTTGATGATCACAAACTATATTCGCAACACCACAATGAAACACGGAATTAATTAAGAGAAAACCAAAGGTGTTGGACCGACACTATCAACCGAAGTGAAACCGAAACACAGAATAAACCAGTCGCAAAAGGCACAAAATAATGCCAAAAATTTATGATTTATTAGAAAATAATCAATGTAACTGTACCAGTACAAGTGATTTTGACGCATTGTTATTGAAACTTTCTCAGCGTATACAATGATGATTGTCTTTGTAAATTTCAAACAAAACATTTTCAAGTAAGGTTGTTTAAATGCAACTTTGAAACATTCTAATAAACAGTTTGATAGACACACTAAACTTAAACAAGAGCTAGACATATCCAACTGAACATTCTGTTTTGGAAAAACAGTTTAATAAATCTGTATTTTCCTTTCGTAAAAAAGAAAGTTTCATTGATACAGTCTTTTCCGTATAGGTCCGTCAAAGAAAGGATCCTCTGATTTAAAAGCTTCGGAGAAACCTTAATCAACAACAACCAAATGTAACTCGAAAAGTATAACAAATAGACACATTGAAATTGCTGAAACCTGTTTTACTTGACTAAGCAAAAGACATTTTAAGGATAAAATTATGGGGAAATATCCAAAAAAAAAGAAAAAAAATTGAAACACAAATTGCAACCTACCAAGTAATTGTACTAAGTTTCTATTACGTAATTTCTTCATAATAGCAGCCTCTTTGAGAAAATCATTCACATTCAGATTAACATCTTGCTATAGAAACACATTTTTTTTTAAAAAAAATTAGAATTTGTAAACAAGGAAAAGATGTTTTTGCATTATATTCGTAAGTTCAGAAAAGGGAAAAATGCAGAAAATCTTATTATCTATGAAGCAGTTTATCAGGATTTATTTTTCCGGAAAAAAAACACGGCAAAATAAAATTATACGTACAAATAATATATTAGACAATCGCGTTAACAACTAAGTAGGGAATAAGCTAATATCAATAGGGTAAACAACGGTCATGAATAACCTAATCATAGTGTATTATGACAATGAATAATGCTGGACAGTATATATTTAAACTTATCCATAAGAAGTAACAGAACAAGATGGCTGTATGTTGTATGTAAAGAAATCCATACTATGAAATGATTTATGCACTTAACCTTGAAATAAAATAGATAATCAGTACCGAACACAGAACTTCGTGCATAAGTACATCAGTTCAGGTTGCCATACCACATCACCACAGAGACGTAACTGTCAGTACAAAATCCAAGAGTGATAGCGATGGTAGAAGTATTAGCAGTAATGGAGGAGATTATAATTCGAAAATATGATTCGAAAAGTATAATTCAGTGAGATAAATTTGAAAAGAGAAAGATAGAGATCATGAGGAATTCAGAAGGATAGAATTAAAAAGAACACAAAGAGTGGATGCACCTACGCCATTGCAAACGATTCTGAGCCATATCATGCAAGGTCTCTAACCATCGATCATTACCATCTCGCGGACCCAAACCAGGTAGTCTACATCTACCAACATTACTCAGTCCACTTGTCAGTGACTTCACGGATTTTTACCACGTTTTGGTTTGGCCGCCCCTAAATTTCTTCCAACCTACTCATACACCACAAAACACAGTTAGTCGAGGCAGTCGGTGGTTAGGCATACGTAACACATGTCCCAACCACCTCAACTGATGAAGTTTCAATGCTTCATCTATTGATTTGCCATCCTTACCTAGAACTCGTTTCCTAACGATAGCATTGCTTACTCGGTCGTCCCAGGATACACGAGCAATGCTTCGGAGACATCGATGATCGAATACTAGTAACCTACAAATGTCCTCTACTCTTAAAGACCATTTTTCGCATCCGTATAGTAGGACAGAGCGAACTGCTGCGCAGTACACTCGCCCTATGGTTAACAAGCGGATATCTCGCCTGCGCCATAAGTGACGCAGGTTGGCAAAAGCCAATCGAGCCTTACATAACATATCCATTAGAGTTTCAACTGTACAAAATTACCCTCCTCCCACTCATTTCAAACGTAGACTACATTAATTCAATATTGTTAATTGTGAATTGGTAATTTAACAATGAAACCAAATGGCCTTTAATTATCATTGTATTGTAAACTCAAACGTTGATCCGCATAACTTACAAACTGGATATTCTCACTAATAAATTGCATACAAATCCATATCATACATGCACAATATGTACATGCTCAGAATTGATTCAATCAATTTATAAATTACGTTACTGTCTGATTATTCAATAAAATGACAATGTATTTAAAGTATAATCAAACAAAGGCAATAAATAAGATGGAGATATTCGAGTGGATTTTTTGAAAAGTAAAATTAACTTAATTGTTCTTCTATTTGTTATTTTTCCCTACAGCATTGCATTTGATTCGGTGATTCCGAACACACACACACACACACACACAAAAACATCATCATCATCATCATTTAATGCCTTGAAACTTGAAGGGAATTTTATTACATCATCAGCCCCCTCCCCACCATGAAATAAATTAAAATATTTAAATTCATTTTCACTGGTAAATTTTTTTTCGATTAGAATAGAGGAAGTTAAGTACATTTAGTTAACAAGTAATAAACAGATGATTGTTATAACCAGTAAAGCATATTACTACAACACCCCAGTATAATATCAGTTTGTAATAATCTTGAAAGAAGTGCACATATACAAAACAACATAGACATCATAGTTTAGATTGTACTTTGAACACTAGAGAATATAAATTGTTTTTCAATAGACAGTCTTAATATTTCACACGAGAGTGTAATTATAAACGAACTGGAAAATTTGATGGATGCACTTTTTTTATTACGCAAGTTCAAAAGTTTTTAGAAATTTGTCTGATCATATGCCCTTATTAGGAAATAATTCAGTCACTCAGATCAAATCCACTTCAGACACTAATAGTTAATAAACTAATATTGCCAATTATCCTAAATTATTGAATTTTGAAACAAAACCCTATACAACTCTCAATGTTTTTTTGGGAGTCAAATATTATGGCATAGTAGAAATACATCAGTTCAAAACATAATTATGATTAACGTATACAATAAAATGCATTCCACAAAACACTTTTGTAAACAACAAATATATGTGTGCGCTCAACTCTTGTTGTATTTCTCTCTTTATTACAACCAAGCTATTCCGAATGCTTAGTATTTTCGGACACCAATTCACTCGAGTCATTCTTCCGAATCCGAACACAGTTGAACAGGAAATAGATTATATTCCAATAACAAGGTTACATGGAAGTCAGAGAAGTTCAAAACGTTAGTATATTTATAGTTTCTTACATGAGAAGATTCTAGAATGTTCCCCCAGTATCGACTAGCGCTGATTGGATACGAAAAAGCCAATCAGTGTGTAACAATGCAATCGTGTATGGAACATGCTTTTACTCCAATCTATGTCCCGCTAACACAACTCTAAATCAAAGTTTCGGTATAAAGCCTAACGTTACTGACTGAATGTAAGTGATTCAATGATCTCATGACGAATCTGTTAGAATTTAAACAGTATGGTTACAGGTACGTGCTTCAATCCATTTCAATTTTGGAACCTAGCTACATCACTAACGCATAAACTGCATAGTTGAAGGCTAACTGCATGAGATCATAAACTTGGCTACTAAGTTATTTTAAAAATCAATAACTTACATAGGCTAAACTTAACACACAATATTGTACACAAACAAGATAAACATAAAAATTACGAGGAAATTTAAAAAGTACAGCATTAACTTACTTTCAGTGTTTTTACTGCGACAACAGAATTGAAACGTTTCCATACAGCTTCATATACATCACCATATTGACCACAGCCTGATTCACAGTAATAACAAAAATAAAGCAATCAAAGATCTATATTTGTTGAAAATACAATCAGACATAAATAACAGTCGTACATATGATAAATATTAAAGTAATTTGTCATAGTAGGTGCAAGCTTGTGGAAGTCATCAAGTGAAGCTTATTATGTCCGATAAAGCATTACAGTCATGATTAAATTTTTGTCTTTACTATCCCCTTAGACTTCCTTTACAGCATACTTTAACTGACTAATATTTGGTATGCTTTTATGGAAAGTCATTAGCTTCCACAATACAAGAAAGTGGCTACTGATGAACAATTCGTCCAATTGACTTTTGGGCACCATGCAGCAAGTTCGAAAATCAGTTGACTTACATCAATATGGGTAGTTAGCTGAATATTAATGAGAAATGAGAATTCAGGGAAATGGTATTATATGCACATGTTACGTTCCCGATTGTAGTAAGCAGTATAAGATTAGTTAACTTGAGATGTGATATTGTTAACTCTAGTAAATTCGTCGCTTCACCAATAAACTAAGTAACATGAATAAAGATATATATATCGTAACTAATCTAGATTCGCTTGATATCGAATGACCTAACGAGTATATTAAAAAAGCTTTTTCAAATAGCAAGCCATGCTCTCTTACCCAATTTTTGACGCATAATAATTTCGGACCTATCAATTTCCCATCCATCGAATTCCATACTTCCGATGGAATCACTACAAGCACTTAATCTTTCTGAATTGTTTAATTGACTTGGATGAAATTGTTTAGGCACATGTGCTACAGGATTCATATGATGCAAAGGGAAGTTGGTTATTTCAGCATTTGACAGATGAACAACGGGATTCATTTCAAATTGATTTTGACCAGGTATTAATGAATTGGGTACTGCTTGAGGAACAGATGAATAGCAAGATTGTTGCATAGGTTGGTTTAAAAATTGCGGTTTCGGTACTGAATACAGTAGCGGGCAAACCAAACCATCAGCAGAACGAGAATGGTGCTCAATTAGTTGAACAACGGTCGGGAATCGATGAGCTTCCGTTATATAGAACTAAAATTGAAGCAAATGTTTTAAAAATACTTAGCTATGTGAATCTATAAGAAACTGAAAATTATGCTTTTATTATTAGGGAGTTCAATCACTAGATACTGAACTTAACCATGTCTCTCATATATGATTTTGGAAAGCAGCAAATTAATCAACATGACGGTTTCATCGATCGGAAGAATGTTACGTCGGAAAATCTCTTCTACGAAATAAATTGTCGATAATAGGTTGATCAAGTTAGGTTTGAAAAAAAATTGATTAGCCTAAAAAATTTCTTTCCGCCAATTATAATCAGCTGATGAAAGTATTCGCAAAGAAGACAGCGGTGGGAAACTGCCTTCTTTCAAAACAAAACAACTCGTCACATGTATATGTTTAAAAAGTATGATTCACAAAACACTGCTTATAACTCCAATCAATCTCCTATTATATACTACTGAAGTTAATTTATTCTTATTCCTCTATCGGTACTGATTTACTTATTTATTTAAACACATGATCAATGATACATAGAGGCACCTAAATATTTATGTGCCACATAAATTATTGAATTTGTAAGTGCGTTGCGGTATTACCCAGGTGCTTAAACCAATGCAGGTAGTTTTCTTAGGGGGTCTCACACTCCACGCTTTTGGTCTGGATGTCTAATCCACAAGGCAGGGGGCCGCGTGAAAAGATGCGGTTTCATAATAGCCGGTGGCCGAAAATGGGTCCACACGCTATTTATTTCCTCTAGGTCTTGGAGCGCATGTGTACCACTGATTTAGAGTCAGGGCTTTCTAACTCTTCTAAGTACCTACCAACCTAATTTAAGCCCTGATTAGAAATCCACTCTTCGATCTCTTAATTCCACAAACAACATTCACGCTATGAGAAGACAGTGAGTAGAACTTCCCTTAGTAGCTGCTATATATGCATGGCCCATTTGTAACTCAAATTATATAACTGAGAGTTGTAAAACCGCACCTAGCATGTTTAAAGCTACAACAAATCTATTGGAAGAATAAACACTAATAATCAATATATTGAAATGTTCAAGTACACAGTCATTACTGTCAAATCGAATAGACTCATGAAATACTAGACTATTTGAACAACTTCAACTAAAACAACGTCGAATATTATCGACATTCAATGAAGTAGGAGGCTATGAATAGACAAATAACAAAAGTATAAAAAAACAAGTCCAAAAAAATATTTTGTAAATTTGTTGTGTGTATATTATTTTTCCATGACGAAAAAAAATACAAACTACTTAAAGAGAGAGAGAGAAAAAAACAAGCAATCGACTTCTTGAAAGATAGATTAAAAGGATTAATGACTGACTAATGCAAACTGTAACATACAATGTTGCAATATGTAAAATATCGATTAGAATCAATCAGTAATGCGTACACACACACACACACACAACGAACAGTTAGTTTAATCACCAGCAAAAACAGTATCTTATTCACAAAATAGTATGACAAATAATTGCCTGTCGAAAAATTCATTTATACATATGTATACACTGTATACAGCAGCTACCAAAAAAGCAATTTCAGGTCAGAAATAAAAATCTCAAACAACAGTTGTCGACAACCAAATGTGAACTTGTAAATTTTTTAACATTGATTTACTAATAACTTAAAGACCGATTTTAAATATACATATCTATTATATAAATACATATATGTATACGTAGAATACACATAGAATAAACGAATATATATATATATATATATATATATATATATATATTTACAAAATCTATGTATCACTAGAAACTCATACAAACAGAAAACAACATTAGCTAATTCATTCACACTGTTAACCATTTAACACAGCTGTCAGTAATAAAATCTAAAAGTCTTAGAAATATTATTTTTTTTTAAAAAGAAAAAAGAAGCAAAACAATAAGATACACATTGGTGTATTGGGTTTTTTCTTGAAAATACATATCACATATACACATTCACTGGATAAATCGATTGTGTAGCATGAGAATTGGGGTTAGGAAGAGACAACCACAATCATATCTCATTAGTAATGGATTATCAATAATAATTATTAAAAAAAAACATACAGTAGCTGGAACCGAATAAACTGGAAGCATTTCAAAAAGCTTTAACATTTGAATAACTAAACGAATGAACGAACAAAACTAGCTAAAATAGATTGCAATGAATAGAAAAACTATTCTTATAACGCGTTATATCTATTTGGAACTGGACTAAGATTTTATAGATTTATGAAATAAATATATTGCCTAGTAAAACAGTTAATTGCTAGTCTATGTACTTTATTATTAATTATTGGGTTTAAACGATTTAGCTCGTTTATCCCTACACCGTTTATTTTAAGCATACAGAATGAATTTTAATTAATTAATACCCAAATGTCAAAATCTGGGTTAAATGTAACATAACTTTCTAGTGTTACCTTCGAAAATAAAGAGACTAAAACCGAATAAATAATGACCAAATGCATAGATTTTAACTTAAGGGTGATTTTCGGCACGAAATGACGAAAATAGATCAATCAGTCAATCAACAGCAATGTAGAACTTCGTACATACGTAAGTACAACATTGGCACAAAGATGTAATTGTCGATTCAAATTCAATAGTAGTAGAGTTAGTAAAAGTATTAACAGTAATTGGAAAGATTAGGGTTCGAAGACATTATTCAAGAAGTAGAATCTAGTGAAATGAACTGGAAGATAAAAAGATAAGGGTTATGATTTCAGAAAACACAAGGAATGGATGCACCTGCGCCACTGTTAACGGTTTTAAGCCATGTCATTCAGGGTCTCTAACCATTGATTACTGTCATCTCGCGGACCCCAACCAGGTGGTCGTCACCTCCCGACATGACTTACTCAACTTGTCGGAGACTTCACAGATTTCTGCCATGTTATGGTCTGGCCGCCTCCCTAGACGAAAATAGAAGAATCAGTCTCATGAAAACTGAAGCTGTGTGGGGTTAAAGTCCACATAGAATGATGGATGCTCATTGTTGAGGACAAGGGCAACTCTAATTAATATCCATTAGTTTTTATTAATACACTAGAGGTGTAAAGCTTTAATCACAACTACTTTAAACTGTGTATGCATTCCATTATATCAACCAATGTTGTTTTTGTTTAAACTGAAATAAATTCTTCTCTTTATTCGAATAATACATTTTGAGTGCCAATAAAAATCACTTAATGATAATTTAAACAATTTGGAGAATGCTGATTTTTAATATATCACCATGTAGTAATAATAATAATAATTATTATTATTATTATTATTATTATTGCTGACCAACTTATTATTTTCAAAGTTGTAACAAGGGCTCATTAGATTGATTAAATAAAATACAATGAATAGAAAAATTGTCATCTCAATAATCAGCATCATATAAATAAACAAAATTTGAACATTCAATAAATGGTATCCAATAGATTTATTGATTAAATTAAAAATGAATGCTACCGTCTTGTTAAAAATACTACGGTATAATTCGATTAAATGATTTCCGTTTACAGTCTCTACGTATATACAATGAAGATTATTGGTATTCTACAATGATAATTCAACCTATATGAATAACAACTGATATTTCAAAATAATTTAAAAGTGTATTGGACTGATAGAATAGCATGTCATATATATGATCGCGTAAATATGATCAAGAGACATTACCTAATTAGTTTCACCACATAATAATAATAGTAATAATATTAACACATAATTCTCTCTAAACTATGTAATTTTTAGTACGCCCCCCCTCGCCCGCCTGTTACATGTACACATACATAGACACACAAGTATTAGCAACTGGTCAAGTCAATAATCATCACACACAGTCATAAGGTGATAGTTGAATTCACAATAGGAGATTACTTGTTATTGATGAAATCTTTTCGGAGACCGCCAAAAAAATTGGCACAAAAAAAACAGAACTGAATATTAATTATGACATATACACAATTATCTGACTATCATTAAACATCTTTTCACTTACAGTTGACTTTTAACAAATATATATATATATATATATATATATATATATATATAAGTTAGTGAACAGAAAACAACAGAACTAAATATACACATATTTACATGAACCATGCATATATGCCTGTGCATATATACACGTACAAACGGGAATCGATATTACGTAACTTTGAATAATCAACTACTGGTGTGTAATCGTGACAAATGATTCATTTGATGCAAGCAAATTGTAAATGTCCCAGTTGTTTCTGTCATGTCCGGTGAAATATATAAGTTATACTTACTATCTGATATTTTTAAAAAAACTGAATTTATTAAGCTGGAAAAAGATTGACAATTCCGAATGAATGCAAATATGACGAAATCAGATGGAAAGAGATATAGTAGTATAACTGATTTTATACGAACCTTTTGTACGACGCCTAAAATCTAAAATATGTTTACAGACAACTTCCCGAACGCTAAATATGAGTTGATAAACACGGAGGAAGATAGTGGGACTGTATTAATAACCGACAGAAGCTATAATGAACGACATTAGAATGATACAGCTGTCTAGACATAACATCATAGCCAAACTCATACCATAGAAAATACAATACACTTTCACTAAAAATAAATCACTTCACAATTTAAAATATCATCGTATCAATAGTTTTGTTTGAAATCTTAAATGACAACAACAGAAAACCTAACAATTTATTTTTCTAGATTTCATAACTAATCTATTCCAATAGTGTTATTTACACTACAGTTTGATTAGGTGTAACTAAATATAAAGCGGAATATCAAAAAATATAAGAAATTCAGAATAAAACAATCAAAAATTTTTTTTAACTTAACAAGTTTCAAACAATTCAAAATTCACCTCCACCCTGGAATTTATTGAACGTGAAATATTTTCAAACATTATTGTAGCATTTTTCAGTCGATTTCAAGAAAACCAGCATGATTGTAAATTTGAACAATATCTTTTGGATACTAAAAGCTTCAAAATCAACACAAAATGTGATATTGGAATAATGATCCGTTTACTAAAGGTCCAATACTCAGTATGTGTGGAATATATAGTGTTTACTTTCAAATAGAAGAAAATCTGAGTGCAATTGCATACAAGCGAATCATAATACACACAACAACAACAAAAATATGAATATTAGTAGTATATACTAGCTAACCTATTTACCGACTACAGTTTTACTTAGTCGTTACTGACTTCGACTATATACATAAAAACTGATGAAGCAGACAGGTTGTACAAACAAAGTAGACGGAGTGAGTTTTAAACAATCAATCTTATAGCTAAAAGTCAAATAGTTTTTCATTGCTATGCATACCAATAGGTGAGGATGCGAGTTATTTTATTCATAATTGTCCATCCCATATTTGTATCCATAAGAAGGAAGATTTCTACCTCTTCTCAACAATGATTCAAAAATCATCAAAAAAATAAGACGATTATTTAAGATTGATAACCAACTGTTTTACGACTTTCATAATTGAGATGAACATATAATCAACTTTTCAAATTTGAATGACATGCTCAAAATCGCTTGCAATGGCGAAGGTGCATGCATTCTTTGTCTTCTCTCAAATTATAATCTACAGAATTCCTCGAAACCCCTAATCTCTTTTGAAATGTTTTTCGTTGGATGACACTTCTTCAATTATATTTTCGAACCCTAATATTCACATTACCACTAATAGTGCTATAACCTCTACCAATATGGGATTTGAATTAACAATTCAATTGGATTGTGCTGATGTGGTATGACGACTTGGACTGATGTATGTACGCACAATGTTCTACGTTGTACCTGACGGACTGATTAACAAATAAATCAACTGAAGACTGTTAGCTTGACTCAAAAATAACAGCTGTCGGCCAGTCAGTCAGTAAAAACGTAGAACTTCGTACGTACGTACCTCACTTCAAGTTGTCATACTGTAGTGAAGGAGAACACAGGTGGGGCAACCGAATTGTATTTAACGAAAATTACAGTTACTCAGTAAAATAGGAAAACCATATCGTAAACGGTTAATTTGCAAATCTTCAATCAATCATAGATCCATTGTCTGACATTTCACTTATTCATGCATTTCAGACAAATTCCATTGCGTTCTAACTCTTCCTTTCTTGATCTTCCCCCATCTTCTGCTGCCAGACATTACGTTGACACTCACGTCATATACTACTTATAAGTAGCTCGCACCACAATACCACATCAGCATAGAGTCGCAACTATCAGTTCAAATTTCATAGTGGCAGAGATAGAACTATTGGCGGTAATCAAGAAGATTAGGGTTCAAAGATATTGCTCAATAAGTGTAATTCAGTGAAATAAATTTAAAAAGAGAAAGACAGAGGTGATGAAGAATTCAGAAGATTAGAATTTCAGAGGACAAAAAGAGCGGATGGACCTGCGCCATCGCAAACGATTTTGAGCCATGTCGTTCAAAGTCTCTAACCATCGATTATTTTCATCTCGCGGACCACAACCAGGAAGTCTGCATCTACCAAAATGACTCAGTCAACTTGTCAGTGAATCCATGGATTTGTGCCATGTTTTGGTTTGGCCACCCCTCACGGAAATCCGTGAGGTAAGGTGAGGTGTGACATTTTTAGGGTCAACCTATTCTAACCCTGTCCTTCATTGTAGGAAGGCAGAATTGCTGTAGATGCTGGTTATCCAAGGGAAACACCTCAGTGCTGTTACACTTCTCTACAGTCAGTAGTACGACTTCGCCCTCAGACCTTGAAAAGCTGCTTTCAGTCTCATCGTTCCCCAACCGACCTATCTGGCATGGTAGGACCTACAGGAACATAGGTTCTAGCCAATATAGCTCGGTCGGATCATCACGATAGGCAAGCCTGACCACCACTTCAAGGTAGCAGCTACGGTCGGAATCAGCTAGCAGGTTAAACATTGGACAATATCTCAAGTTAACCGATATAAGATAAAGTTCAGAAATGAATACAAGAAACTTAGAAAAAATTCTGAGGTCATATTACACCGGTCGACAATTCAGTTATTAAAAGATTATGGGCAGTACTCTAAGTTCAACCACTGACTTATATCTTAAGTAATACGGATGTTGCCGAATTTTCGAATTTATGGATTTTAATTAAACTTCTATTTTATTTAAGCACAAACAGTACATTGAAGTTATGTGCTTTCATGATAGTCTGTTAACTTCTAGATCAAAATTAATGTAGTTATCGATCACTTAACTTGTCTTCGAATGCAATTTAGTTCAGAATTAGCCATTTTTTATACTAATACTAATTAAAACAGGTTGTACATTTTAGCATCGCATATTTGTACTTTATAGTGAAACTAAAAGGAGTAAACAGGAATTGTGTAGAGAGGTAAGAAAAGCATTTCTTGGAAGCAACGGCTTCAACAAACAGATTACTGAAGCTGAGCTGTTTATTGATCATCTCGAAAAATTGCAAGGTATCAGTCTGTATCCATAAGATGTTTGGTGATCACATTGTCTAAAGAACTAAACGAAATAAAATTAATTCATCTTATTCTGAACAAATTTTTGTCATTGATCTCTTTAACCGGATTATTTTAGAATTAAAATACAATAAACAGGCGAAAATATAATGAACATACCAGTCCTCTGCTGTCTTGACTAATGCGATAATGATAGACTCTTCCTAAGTGACGCACAGTTACAGAAAGTTGACCGGGTGCAGACTCTGATGCTCTAACTAGAAAAGAACCTGTGATACCACTCCGAAGGAGATGTTCTCCAGCTTGCCTTGAGACAGCACCATGATACCATGAATATGGAAGAAGACTTGGCTCTAAAAGACTCAGAGGCGATGAATCCATCATGACATGATGAACAGGGCCCTTATTTGACACGTTTTGTACCTGTGATTGCATATGGTCATTTGCCATGATCACTTGTGAATTAGGTAAACAAGAAGCATTAAGTGAGCAGTTTGGCTTTTCTGAGCTTTCGCAGGTATTTAATTGTTGTTGATAAGGGGCGGAACTTTGGACGACATTAGCAGTAGCTAAGTAACTTGTTGGTACCCATCCACGTCTGTAATTGTTGAATAAATGCATACAAGAAGTATTTACACTGCTTCCAGTTTCTCTGGTGGATGCATGATTATGCTTCATAGTAACTCCAGTTTTGCACTGAGAAGGATGACCTTCTGACCCGGAAGTAGAACTACCTGGTCCAGGTTTGGGAAAAGGTGGTAGGATAAGAGTAGCTTCTACCTCAGACCAGTCTCCAGCTGGACTGTAGCTTAGAAGGCGTACCAATTCACCTAAAAACCAATAATTTATAGGAAATGAAAATAAGCATTAACTAAATAAAACAGATAGAGTACCGTCTATATTGACTTCGCACACTAGTATGCTATGACGAGTTAGGTCTATAATAAAAAACTCATCAGAAAAAACATCACGAAATTAATATGGGATGCTGTAGAATAGAGTTAAACTGGTGTTTAATAATGTTGTAAAGAGGGAAACAGAAACAATGAGAAACAGGCTGAGTTTATTTTGGAGACATTGCTGTTGATAGTCTGTTAAATACTAATATCTTATTCTGTAAATCCTAAGCAGTTAGTTGATATATGACTTCATGTCATACTGTGTTTTGTTACAAAATTATTGTAACTTAGATGTAACTCTCATAATCGACATTCCTATACTGAACGGCTGGTTTGGATATTATTGTGTTTTTCTAGATCCCTGTTCGTTTTACTCTTGTGAAGTATGTATTTATCCATATATTTTTTCGTAAATCGAATCAGGAATAAATGGGGTAGTGTTATAGTCGAATAGTCTTCTTCCTATAGCTTGCTGGCCTATCCGGTGATAGAATAGTATTCTTTCCTCTGCCAAGGCCGTTTAGTCATAACTGAACTCACGTGCTACTAGTCTCAAAGTTAACTACATGACCTATCGCGTCAAAGCCCTTAAACTAGATTGAGACAATTTTCCAGTGTATTGGTAGCAGACGGTTCAAGGACGTAACAAATAAGATTAGAATTTCAGTCAGTTAGTCAGTTTCAAAGTAGAACTTCGTACGTAAGTACATTGGTTCATGTTGCCATACCACATTAGCACAGAGACGCAATTGCCAATTCGAATCCCATAAGATTAGAATTTAATATATTTGAACCACATATAAAAATAGTATTACTAGTCATGTTCATAATTATCATCAGTGTAGCTCAGTAAGAGAAAAAGCAAAAACTTGCATTTAGTGTTTTAGCTGAATTAACACTGACTGACTAGCTCAGTAGATATTTATAAGCTACTGAACTGTCTAGTACCAGCTACCTACTAGTTATCTAGAAGGAAATTACAATGAAGTTAGCTAGGTCTAAAATTTTCGATTGACAGTTGTTGACAGTTAGTTCAAGAATTTTGACGGAAACCTGTGAGCTTATGGAATCATAGTAATTAAGAAAACAAAAACCCAAACACAAAAGTTGACTCCGACTGACTAGAGAAATAAATTTGTATGAAGAACGAAAGAATTCCACAAACACACGCCAAAAAAATTACTCGTGAAACAAAGGCTCAAAAGCAACTACGGAGTCCTTAAGTGAAAAGCCGAGGATTTATAATAGCGTATCAAATTTTGTATGCTCTAAATTTTTCGACAAATGAGGTTAAATACTGAAGAAAATTAACTCCAATTTGTTCTGAGACACTATGACACCCTTAACATGACGACAGGTTTATGTCTGAAGTGGATTTTAAGACTATAAATACTGAAGAGTTAAAAAATAACTAGGATTCCAATGAAGCTTAGTAATAGATGAATAAACTATTTTCTCTGTCATTAGCTACTGAAAGTGCCGAGAGAAAACGGAGTAACATTCAATATGATCCAGTCGCTGATAAAACTAAAAGGAAATGGCAGTTAGATGGTTTTATGTGGTTAATTGTTTCGAAACAAAGTAACGATCAAGAAAAACGTGATATCATTCAATCAGTGTGAAAGTGAAGAGCAGGCAGCAAACCTGTGTACAAACTTGTGAATACTAAACATACAAACCCTTCCACCAACGTAAACTAGGGTTTTAGGATCCTATGCAATAAGATTATAACATTCACAGTTGTAAACACAATGCCTATCAAAATTTTAATGTTTCCGGACGTTAGTTAACTTAGCATACCTGAAGTAATATCTGTTAGGATTTGTGACCACACATATCTAATTGAAAACCTTTTACTATCCTTTTTGTTATGATGCTCTCAATCAACTATTTAGCAGAAACAATAGTCATTTTTTCTCACGTTACTTCTACAGTTGTGAACACTGCCTCAAAATGTACCCATTTCATAATATTGTTGATCTTGCTTTGAATATGCACATGGCGCATTATTGATTCGTTTATATTGTTATTCCTCCAATATGTATGTACATTTTTAACAAAATGAAAATACACGTCTATGTTCTTGTCAGTCAGTGAGTCAGATATAACACAGAACTTTGTACGTACGTAAATCAGTTAAAGTTGCCATACTTCAAGCTTTCTACCAACCTATACCTATATCAGACAACATCGCCGGTCAAGGCAGTAGGTACTTAGGTATACGTAACACGTCCCAACCATTTGAACTGATGATTTCCTACTTTGTCAGTTAATTTGCCATCCTTACCTAGTACTCTTTTCATAACATCAGCATCGCTTACTCAGTGGTCTTAAGATAGATAAACAACGCTTCTTGAACTCCCTTTGATCGATTACTAGTAACCTACAAATGTCCTCAACTCTTACGGGAAATGTTTCGCACCTGAATAGCTGGACGGAGAGAACTGCCGCGCAGTAAACCCGTCCTTTGATTGATGGAGAGATAACTTGCTTACGTCATATATGACGCAAGTTAGCAAAAGCCAGTCGAGCCTACTGCATATGTGCTGAGATTTCGTCACACACCAGGCCATTAGCAGTGATGCGATTCCTGAGCTAAGTGAAGGAGTCTACAGGTCCAAACACTTAACGACCTATCACTAGTTCAGGTGCTCATGAAAGACAATCCTGAAGCGACATTTTGCATTCGGATGGGGAGAACCGCATTCCGAACATGCTTGCATTGTTGATCAGGGTAGTCAGGAAACTCGGCATTTTATCAGTGTCTTCACGAAATGGAACTTTGTTATCGACATATTCGAAGTCAACAAGCGAGTCAACGACAATGTTAAATGAGAACGGAGAAAGTAGACAACCCTGACGAACACAACGTGAAAAAATCAATTCCGACGACAGTTCGCTATTAGCTCTGATAGAACTCGTTTCCTAACGATAGCATTGCTTACTCGGTCGTCCCAGGATACACGAACAATGCTTCGGATACACCTATGGTCGAAGACTAGTAACCTACGAAAGTCCTCTACTCTTAATTCAGTGAAATAAATTAAAAAAAAAAGAGAAAGACAGGGGTGATGAAGAATCCAGAAAATTAGAATTTCAGAGGACAAAGAGTGGATGCACCTGCGCCACTGCAAGCGATTTTGAGCCATGTCGATCTATAATCCAACTATTGATTTGCCATCCCTACCTAGTACTCGTTTGCTAACGACAGCATTGCCTACTCGGTTGTCTCATGATACACGAGTAATGCTTCGAAGACACCAAGCCGATGTCCTTAAACCAATCAAATTAGCAAAAGTTCTGAGGTGTTGAATTTCTAGAAGTAATAATTTTAACACTTCTTACTTATTTACTATGAAGCTAAACTGAAAAACATACTAAGCTATGTCAACAAAAATATCTCTATTAGACGCAAAAACTGACCTCGCTTAATGCTGATTTGAGAGTTCATTGATTTTGAGAAGTCATATAGTACGACCATAATCTCTCCTCTACCCAAGTGAACAGGATCATCAGGATTTTGTATATCCATTTGTATATTAGATCGATTACCGGCTACTTTTTCTGTCATTCTGTAAATTCAAGATGAAGATTTACCGTCAACTCTGTTGAGGTCAGTCGATTTGGAACTTCTGTTCAGGTCAGAAGTATCAACCTTGCTTATTGGATTTGATTCATCTTTTGATAGTATTAGTTTACTATTATACCCTCCCATCAGATATTCTACTCCACTTCATTTGGAACCACACAATCTCTTATCAATATTAAAATCCCGCCCCTGAATCTCTTCATACATACTTAGCGCGCATCTACAATATCCAATATCTCTTTCATTAGCTAGTATAAAACAATCGGTTTCTTAGCTCTCGGTTCTTGTTCTTTCGATGTGGTTCCAGGTGTTTGATCGTGTCCAATGAGTGAGGGTCCAGACACTCGACTGTTTAATTCTAGTCACTTGGTAGATGTTTGTGAGTTTGTATGTCCCGTGATTTGTATGAATACGTTTGTTTCAGGACAGTAGGGTTTCTGCATACGAGCACCAATCACATTATCAGTTCGGAGATCAGTTAGTTTCAATGTGGAGATTTGTGTCTTTTTTAAGGAGACGGGGTGCGATGACGTTGTGAACCTCCAGGTGTGAGCGCACGTATGTCTTAAACAACATCAAGAATAATTCAGGGGTGATAGCACCAAGATGTCTACTGATGAGGTGAAGAGTTTCACTTGCCTTGCGTGCATCCCAAATATAGTTCGGACTGGTGTGGAGGCTTTGAGTGGTTATCAAACTGAGATGGTGCTCTGAGGATACATCAGGGAGCGGACTTCCATTGAGGGTGTAAATTGTTTGCGTCATGTGCGGCAGAATGTACATGAAGTGACATTTTGGCAGGTTTCGTTTTAATCCTCATTTCACTGCCGATTCTTCAATGGACGTAATGTTGTTTGGAAACTCAGACGAATCCTCTTCACTTCCAATGGACGTACAGATCTTTGCATCGTTTGCCTAGATCAATGCCGCTGAGATAACAATGTATTTGGACAGCTAGCCTGATCTGAAAGTGTTTCCTATCACTTCAAACTTTGGCATTGCATCTGCTTCTCAGAGCTGAGTAAGAACTACTATCAGAATACTAAAAAGAGACCTCTAACTTGTGCCAGACTCTCCTCTTCGCCTGTGTCAAGCATTCAGTGCTGCGCCTAACTCGTGTTCCTCTACTTCCGGGTGTGTGTTGTGACTGAAGACAGCATTGTGGATGATTTCAATCACTGTTTGCCATCGATCAGAGAATGTCAACCTCCGCCATTTCCGTGACCGTGAGACATGTAGAAGTTTCTCTCTTATGTGCGTGTAATTTGCCCTGTTGTAACAAAGAAAGGGCTCGCTTTGATCCCGCCTGAGTGTTTCGTTCATGACCATGGTAAACAAGACTGTACCATGGTCACTACTTCCTATAGGTGTTTGGACATGTACATCCGCCCACCAGAAGCTGACAATAGTCAGTGGACAATAAATTTTTATCATCAGTTTCGGTTTGTTTTTGGCATGTCGTCGTAAATTCTACTTTGAAATTTAAAATTGAGCGCATATCAAGTGCAAACTTTTCATGAGGTAATTTATTAAATGTCATCAGGTCGCCTATTTTCCTTCCGAATAACAAAAAAAAGGGTTTAATATAGCCAGTCTCATGTCATGCTGCAGCACTGAGATCCCACTTGGTTGCAGTTATTTGAACCTTTTCAGTAGCTCATTGTCTTGTTAAGGCAGGGGTCGGCTGCTTGAATGCAATGCTAAAGTTCGATATAAGCAAACATTACATAAAAAAACCAAACTATTTTAGAATCGACATGGCCAGTGGTTTTATATGGTGACCATAGAGTTGTAAAACCTTTGAAGCCTATTGCGCTACAGTTTCCATTAGTTTTCAAGTCTTAGACAATGGTGACTCCTGGGTCATTTTGCGTCTGTACAACAGGAAGCTTCATTTTATTCACTAGTATATATCAAGATGCACTTACCGACAACTGCCTAAATTCATATAACTTCTGAAGGCCGTTCTGAAGCTCTAAGTTATCACTCTCAAAATTATCGTTGTTCAGATCTTAATATCATCAGCAGGTAGGAAGGAGTCTAGAGAGATGACTTATCTACAAGAAGAATAACACTAGCCCCGAAAATGTACCACGAAGCATACCGTTAAGCTTAGTTTCTCACCATACATCTTGAAGTTTCTCCGTATTCTTCGTCTTTGCACAACTAGGAAATGAATTATCCACAAAAATAAGTTTCCTATAATACCAATATCACTCAACACAAACAGTCGTGCCGAAATTTGTCAAAAAGCTTAATTAAGTCAATAAACCTTTCATCTCAAAGTTGCTGCTGATTTTCAACAGTATATGGTGACCGGTGTCTCAATAGTTTCGCGGTGGTCAGTATCCAGCATGTTCTTATGCTTCGTAATTTGTTCGTCCAGCCAGCAGCCCCTAAATAGCGCCTTACAGTTTATAAATCAGAAAGCGAATACGAAGTGTCTAAAACGTTCATTTGTCACACCGTCAACAGACCACAAAGCGAAAGGCAAGCAAGCTAGCGAGTTAGCAAATTGTCGAATGAATTAATGATTATATACATATATATACGTAGGAAAATGGCTGAGTCATCGAGATATCCGAGGGATCAACGTGAAAGCGAATAGGATGAATATTCGCGTATATGGTAGGCAATGTTCACTCGTACCAGCCCATATAAACTAGACAATAGTAAAAGTCAATGGTTCATTTAAGTTGTTGCTATACCAATATTTTGATCAAAAGACTTAGCTAAATTAAATATGACTGAACTGAAATGTATATATAGGCACTTCTAGTTCGCCAACTTTCACGCACAACTAATAAGTTTGTAAGAAATGTATAGCCTGTAGTATTTCGAGTCAAGGTTGACTATGAACACGGCTACAAACCAATTACGTTCTAGCCTTACCGCACTCTCCTTTCGTGAACTGAAAACAGGGAATGAGATAGTCCAGATGATGGAGTATATTTGCTGGCGATTTCATGGTATCGAAAGAATACAGATAAACGGTCACAGGTAAATGAGTGTCTCCATTAACCCAATCGCATTTCATTCATAAAAGTGGAGTCACTACGAGCCTATTATAAAGAAGTTGCCGTTTTTAAAAAAAATAGTAGGCTTCCGTCTAGATACCTTATTTACTCCTTTCGAAAATCTTTTCGGCCCTGTTAGGCTTATATTTCGATAGTCCTAAGGTTTGTGTCTGATACTTGTTCTGAACACATGACATGGGGTTTTCGGCAATCTAGAACGGGCTAAAGTTGAACTGAAGCAATAAGCGAATTCTATAAGTGGGACTTGAATTGGGGAATTTTACTTCACGTACATACTTAAACCGACAGACAATAAGAAGAACTCCATCCAATAATATGGCCCAAAATGGGCAACAGTAGCGTGAAAAGTAAATTGGTATTGAAATATATCGTGTGTAGATGTAAACGCAAACATATGTATATAAAAGGTATCACAAAGACATGAACAAAAAACAGTATATCAGATTAAGGTCATAAATTCGTACGAGTTGTTAGGAGAGTAAAAGTAACTGAAATGTCACATGCTGTCTGGAAGCTGGGATTAGTAAATTAAGTGTGTAGTGGAACGCTTCTACGAAGAAAATGCGATTTTTGAAATGTAAACATTATTGTACTCGTTTTGTTTAACTGTACCAAAAACACTTCTACCACTTCTTGCGCGCAACGTTCTCCCGTTGCCGCCATCTTTCTCTATTTGCTGCTCCCCATGTAATGCCAACGTTCTCCTTCAATAAAACCATGGAGTATTGATTTATTTTGTTTCGCTTTTCGTGGCGCGACCGTATGGAACATTTAGTGGTGAGCATAGTCAATCTGGTATCCGGACTCGCCCACAACAATTGGTGAGACCGACGTTTCTTCTAAAGAAGTCAATTACGGTGAGTCTATTATTCATCTATCACCATTTTTATAATGTTGCAATACTATTAATAATGTCTTTAATATATATTATACTTGCAACAACTTTTCGAAATGGTAGATAGCTATAATAATAGACTCCGAGGTGCAGGTCATTTCATTTTCACCTGTCTCCTCACCGTCACATCAGGTTGTTGGTTTATTTTACGTGCTCGATTTTTGCACTAACGCTAGGTACTTGGTGGCCACAAGTGCCTAAATTTATGTCGTATCGTTTGGTAGCAGTAAGTGATAGGCTACGATACTTCGACCACGCACTGCGAATGGCTCTGTCATTCCTGCCTACGGTACACGACAGCTAACTATCAACCTGACTAATCGACGACAGTACCTATGGACGTTCATATCTTCTGATGTTCCCATAGTCATACCCGGTATCAATCCCTTACAGCACTATGAATTTCTAGTCGATTCACGTAGGTTGCGTTAATCGATACTTCGTCGAATATCAGACCCATGGTTTTTAACACGCAAACAGATATGTACCGAATCATTAATATGTATATTTTTTGCATTACTATTTTCATGTTATATTCGATAAATTCCCCAAAGTAACGAAACCGAGGAGATTTAACTGGTGATTATTTATGTGGTAAGCCACATCGTCACCTGCAGACCCCCAGTCACGGCAATACCTCGCCGACTGGCACCGGACAACTTATTTCTCGCTAATCGTGAGTTTGACAGTTTACTTGCTATATGTATTACTTCATCTTTCTCACAGTCCGTAAGACTCCTCTCTCGACTCGGTTCGCAGAAAGATGGCATTTGTTGGAGACGACATGGAGATTACGGAGCAGCAACGGAAGATTTCCAATGTTCCGCCTTCGAACTCGTATACGGCACAAAATTGCATCTGCCTGGGGAGTTTTTCACACCACGGAGCAGCGATTTTATGTATATCAGATAACATCCAACGACTATCTGCGTAGATGCGAACACTGCCTCCGGTGTGAACTCGAATATAGCACCGACAGGTCGCTCTCCCTCGAGAGTTATTTACCTGTCCGCCAGTTTTCCTACTTGTAGATTCGGTACTCAACAACCTAACGAAGGATCATTTCATGTGATCTCTCGTCACGTAAAGACCTTCAAGGTTGATGGACACAGTCAGTCTTGATCGTCTCATACCAGCACACATCAATGACAGTGCCCTACCTGGTATATCGAGATTAAATGTTGGACTCGTCCAACTCACTAGCGGGATCCTTATTTCTCCTTTTGATCCAACGCTCGCGAAATCAAA